AATGTATTCATAATTTACTCCAATTATTCACGCGGTAAAAGTATGAATATTTATTTTTACCGCACAATTAGCTATATTTTGTTGGTATATTTAGAATTCTGTTCAAAGTAACGATTACAAAGTTTTAAATGTTTGTTTTTAACAGTCATATAAATGCAAGGGGCCGATGTTTACACAACCGACTACTAATATTTTATATGACACGTTGATATTGCGCTTTCAACGCTCGTGTGTCGTCGGCAAATGTCGTCAGCTCGGTTTCGTAAGCAACGCGTGCGACGCTAATTGTAATGGCGAAAGCAAACAGGTGCCCACTGTGTGTTTTATCCATTTATACAGAGATGTTAGTCCCAACTATTGTGTGATGAACTATGAATTGTATGAGCTTAAGTTTTAACATGTGTAATTGAAGGTACCTTTGAATATGTGTAAATGTGTCGAGAGTAAAAATTTTTACGTCTTTAAAAGGTGTCAAATAGGATACATTTTTATGATTTCGTATGTTTGTCTTTTATGGTGTTGAAAATTGATTTCGCTGCACTAAAAAGTGTTTTCATAAATATATATAGTTTGACCTAATTTTATTTGAACTTTTTTAGAAAAAAGTCGTAAAGTTTATACACAGGAATGTTTAACAAGATAATTGTAATTATAGTACGGATATATATTTCCAATTAAATGTGCATTTTCTAAAGTGTGTCATGAATAAAGTATTTGTGTCATCTCGTGACTGCATCAGGGAAATCTATGACGACGGTACAAAAAGCGACACATTCATCAAGCGATCGCAAATCTTAAGTTATTACCTACTTATTTCATAGTATACTACAGATTTAACTCAAAATACAAGCATCATTATTTAGAGGTTATGTTTTAATTAAATCTGAATATCTTCGTATAGGTAGCTGTATTTTACTGCTAACAGATGTTACTGAAATTAAAAAGTTCAGTAAAAACTGTAAGTCAACGACACTAATATTTATTACAATTATTTCGCAAAATAATTGAAATAAAAAACAAAAGAGCAATAATTGAAATATATGCAATTTTATACGTTAAACCACTTTTCAATTAACTGCAGTTGAGTAATTCGAAACTCGTATTTTATATTTCTCAAATTTACAAAATATTAATTGCCATAACGATTTGTACGTATAATGTGGCTTTTTAAACTGTTCAAGTTAGAACTAAGGTTAGACATGAGTGATAAGGTAATAAACTCATAACACTAATTATTGATACAATACAAAACACGCGAACAGGCCTATCAATCAGTACGTTTCTTAAAAGGTGCAATTAATATTAGAATTATCGTCTTCGAAACACAATCGAAAAACAACCCAATTAACTTCTCCTACAGTTCATTAATTTTACAATGTTATAAAATGTGATAAGGTTGAATTTTGTGTGGCACATAATCTTGTTCATATCCTACCGGAATGAGCGTTTCTAGCGAATCGGAAAAGATAATGGTTGAAAAGATATACAGAAATAATGTTCTTCCGCCGGCCTTAATACTCGTATTCGGAAATGTTCGGGTAAAACAATGCATGTACGGTTACTTAGTAGGGTCAGTAAAAACATGAATAAAAAGTAATATAAAAAAAATAAAAGAATGGTACTTATAAAACTTTAATCGGAAAATTTTGTTAGTTATCAAGGGAATTCATCGTTTTACAGTAGATCGATAAAAATCGTCTTGTAAGTGATGATGACTAGTCTGGTGTACCTATAGTTTGTTCAACAGTTTTAGAAATTTTTTAAAACAATGTTAAAACTATACTAAGTAACTATAAAAAAGAAAATTTACGAGTACATTTCTGTACCGTAAATAGATTACATAAAACATATTAAAATGATTTTGCTAACTATACAAACTATTTTGTTAAAACGAATTCCGAAAATAATTCATTAAATTGCTTAAGAACGTAAAAGAATAAATAATTATCTATGTGTAAAAAATGGTGTAAAAATTTTATTTACGTAAGATAATGCATAACTACGAAATGTATGCGCTATATTATTGTGAAAACATTATTAAAAGTATTTCATCTATGTAGTAGATTTAATTAGGTGGTTTAAATTAAAACTAGAACGTTGCAAAAATTTTATTTATTAAAATAATTATAAGCTCTTGTGTGAAGTTTGTGTTTTATGAGCTAGTTATACAATAGTCAGACTAAAACAATCATACTTGAATTCACGCCTTTTCCATTGAAGCCTAGACATAACCTAGACAGCACCATCATCGACTAGAATAATGGCATTTTATACGTAGGTACAGCATATAAATAAACATCAAAATCGATTCACAATACCATTCACGAATTAGTTCACAATAACTGTTCTACGGCGCTACTGTTTAAGTACACATTCACTGACACACCCACACATAGACAACACAGACACACATGTGAGTGCAACATATGATCACATTACACAACCTGACGACCTGTCATTGTTGGAGTCAACAATATGGCACAAGGATAGGGCTGGCGGTGTTTGTTTGTTTGTGTTATTTTATTAGTTAGGTATTCTTTAAATACTTAGTTAAATACATTTTGTTCTACTTATTTTATTTTGTACGTTTATATTGTGGTTTTGTTTTGAAAAAATGCACAAATGTAGCCATTTTTTAAATCAAACCACTGAATACTTTTATTGCAACGTTAATGTGAATTTTGCAGTCAAAAATTCCGAAATATGTTAGCAATGACAAATAATTAAATATTGTATACCTAATTATTAATCTTTAACCTCCGTTTTTACAAAAGCGATACAATTCTAACTAGACAATATTTCAAATAAATAAACACACAGGTTTATAACACTTCAAAAAAAACCGTACAACCAAATTTCTCCACTCGCCAACCCTAATAGTAATGTTATTTGTAATCCATGACAAAGCGGTTAACCGGACCATTAGTTCTTTTGTAAACTATCAAATTATAGCTTGAACTTTACCAAGTCACTATTGTGTTAATTTTTTATACAAAAAGAAGTGATATATGTTGAAATGTATTTTGACTGAAATTGGGTGGAGCGTGGGACACAGTGCACTGTTAGTATAATAGTCTCGTGTTCCTTTTTATTTGGGAACACAAACTTTGAATTAACTTTGATGTATGTCGCTTGTATTTTTTTGTACTGAACACGTAGGCTTTTCCCATATTTTATTTGTTTATTTTCTGAATTAATTTTTGTTTTATTAAGACACTATTGTAATAATTGTTCTTTGTTAACATTTTAGAGTCAATTAAACCGTAGTACTAAGACTTTATATTTATAGCAAATACTTGACAACATATTTAAAATTCATTACTAACTATCAGATGAATTGAGTACATGATCAATGATCATACACTAGCAAATGCTAAGACAAATTAAGATTTTCACTTCCAATGTGTTGGTGTTTAATCGCAGTATTGCATCAGAAATGATTGCTTCTTGCACTGAACAGTATCATGTAGGCTTCTACTGACGCCTTATTGAGAAAACTCAATGAGTAATAAACTTAGACATCATTATTGTGAAAAGGCAACGAATAACTCTTTGATTTATTTTATAAATACCTAATTTATTAATAAAAATAGCACGCAGCTTACCTATATACCAACATAATCAAAAGTTATGGTCATAATTAAAAAGCTGATGTTTATTAATTTAGCTATTGTATTATATCAAATGAATGAACTTCATTAAAGATAAAGAACTGATTTTGTAAATGCACGAAGGAAAATCCTAGTTCGTGGCAACATTTTAAAGACGATAATTTTTTTTTACACTTATTGGAAATTGAGACCAAAATGCTAAAAGAAAAATCGTCCGCAATCATAGCACGTATACTGCATTTGATACTTGTCTTGAAGGCGCAAACAATTTTCTTAATATTTATTCAATAAACAAAATCAATATACAAAACTGAAGATGACATAATCTTTGAACTGTTTCTTCAGAGTCACATCTGTCGTAACTCTGGTTTGGAGGAACCTTGACAAGAGCATACGCACGGCATACATTATACAACACGATTTGCATACAGATTTTAAGTAAACTTGTGTTTATACGAACAATATAATTATTTCCTATGTTTTGAAGTTCCTTTTTAGTGCACGGCAATGATTTCAAAATTATTTGTTTTTGTAGTTTCTTTGTTACAATTATTTTATTAAGTTTGGCTATGGATTTTCCTGAAAAATGAGACTGTGGTCTATTTTTTATAGTTATGTCTAAAAACGCATATATAATAATGTACTCATGCATGATATTGTGTAATATAAACTTAATTACTAATGCATAATTCCAGGAGACTATGACAAAAAGTAAATTCTTGGATTTTTAACAAAAAATAACAGTTGTCTCAAGACTATTTGTATATCCTCTTGTTAAGCCTTAAATACCTAACTGCAGTGGTCTTTACGACTAGCGGTTACATGACAAAATTCTAAATTGCCGTCAATAAAACTTGTATTGTGCTTATGTCTGACCTCTACTAATCCTGTTTACGTAGCAAAAAGTGTAAACGCCTCTAACAGGACTTAATACAATATGAGTACAGTTTTACCTATAAATCATTGCATTAATAAGAAATTCGGAAAGATCTTAATGATGATCACACGCAAGATATATTAATACAAGAGTATAATAGGATTGCGTGCGGCTTCGAGAAAACGCAACGAACGCGACACCGTCGTAATATGCGCGAAGCCGCTACACTTTCGTAGCTCCGCGCTACGCATACAAAAGATTTCAACGAGCGACACGTTACTGTGCTTTAATTTTCATTCAAACTTTTACCGCGGTAAATCTTTGAATAATTACTCTTACACATTTTTTATTTTTAGACCAATTTTAAAAGTCACTTTGTCATGTAAAAGCAGTTCCTACAAAAGAAGCAATTTCGAAATTGTTTCCGCGCAGTTCCGAGACGACATTGTGTAACACACCAAACAGCGAACAATTACGCGACGTCTGATTAAAATAAGCGAAAAAACACTCACCGCTTGCAAAAACTGTTTTGTTGTAAGTGAAAGTCGCTCCCGTAGACGCGACTAGAGGGATTTTGTCAACACTATATTGGCACACAACACTGATTGGATCACTTTTGGGGGCATAGAAGCACACTAGAGGGTGTTTTTGGGGGGGTAAAGTTCGTTGGTCCTTGGGTTTGAATTTGGCGCGTATGTGCGCTCGACGGCGCGGGCGCACGGGACGGCTGGCGGCAAGAGACTGCGCGCACAACTCCCACCATCGCCGCCCGAAATACTAATCACCTTGCTATCGAGACTGTGGTTCAGGCGTGTGTGATAAGAGATAGCGGGTAACAAACTATGGTTAACCGGGATGCTGGGCAGATTTTGCGTTTAAAAGTTATAATGTCTAATTATTACATTTACGTCACACTATTTAAAGATAACGGTGTCGTTATTTGTTGTCCAGCTACAACAGCCTTCAAAAGTATCTCGAGATTAATAAACAAAAAATAATTCCGTAAATTATTTTTTAATAATAAATAATATGTTTTTTCCCTAAATATGTATCGAATAAAAAAGAGGCACTATCTCAAAAATCTTCATCGCCTCTGCCTTGTACCACATAAGACACAAGGTGAGACGGATCTAGATACGGCGTGTCATTTCTTCCACAACATATCAGAGGCTAAGTGACCACTAGAGGTCGATAGGATAGGAAATTGTGACGTCACAACACTAACTTCCAATGCCATTGCCGTATTCGTCATTTATCGATAAATTCGATAAAAGTTTAAAAATTAGATGGTGACCTTAGCAAAAATGTGTCGATTACTTGTGTTTGAGTTTATAGTTTTACGTGCATTTAGTCAGGTAGTGCACACAAGTTAAGTTGCTGATGAATAATATTATGACTGAAAAAGAAAAATGCAACTAATAGCATGAAAATCGTATACTTGTTACAGAGTGGATTATTAATCTTGTACCTTCCAGGAGTCGTGGAGAACCTAAGGGTTACAGGGACTCCGGCTCGACGAGCAGGAGAAGGACCCGTTCCTTGGTTTTTAGTCAGTAAGAGTCTGACACTCCCTCCCGCCTCACCCAGGCGGAAGCAGTCATTCGATGATTTTCCCCCTTAAAAAAAATACCTTCCAGGAATAATAATTATGCATATTTTATCAAGCGATATAAAGGCCATAAATACAGAATATAAATTCTGATAAATTAAGAAATGGAACGATTTTAAAACATTATTTTGTTCCCCTCTAATAATATCTTCTGATTTATTTTATTGCGAGATTCAAGGCAGTTATTCATGTCCGTAAGATGCACCGTACATCAGTTTGCGGGTGTTTTCATAATTGTATCCTGGCTTACAGGAGTTGCAGCAGTTTTAGGAGGTCGTGGTGGGCTTGCCAAAAAAATAACAGTCGACTTTATACAGCTGTCCTTTTTAACATGACAATAAAATTACTTCATTAAACCTGCATTAATCTGCAGTCAGTTGATTGATAAATTGTATAATAACATGTAATTACAGAGTAATCGAAACAAAACAAATTTTTGACAATCAAATCACCGTCTAATGTCAAGGCAAAAATCGAACATCAAAATGACAATTTGATAGTAACAATTCGTGAATCTATCGTGCGTGTACGCATCGCATCGAAAAATAACGTCACAATCAGTGTCATGACAACTAATAATTTCACAACTTCGTTAATTACTTTGACAATTATGTTTTCATTAATACTAATGGTATTAATGTGAAAGGTTGCCTCGTTGGCCGAGTGGTTGCAAGTACGACTGCAAGGGGTCTCGGGTTCGATTCCCGGGTCGGGCAAAGTATTACTGGGTTTTGAAGAAAAAGGATCGGGATGAAAGGAACAGAGGTAGATATAGTCTCCAGAAGCTAATTTTAGTATAAATTGGCTCAATTACAAGTACTGAGTCATGAGTAGAAAACATAGGTCTTATAAAAGGTAATTCCCACAAAGAGTTCATTTGGTTCTAAGAATTTCAGCGATCATTCGACAAAACCTGATGAAAAAATCAAAATACCAGTGACTGGACGGACGTAAAGAAGCATAGTCCTTGAAATCAGACAGAGAAACCTCGTGAAAATCCGGTTGTAAATGTAGTTAAGATTTTTAAACAAATAATGGAAATAAATAAGATTTTAATACATAATAAACGATCAAAAGAAGATCTATAGAGATAAGGCATGATCAAAAATCAAAACTTCAGAGCATCTTGTCATTATTCCAAAAAAATACGGTCTATCGTATCGTCATCTTAACCATTGGATGTGGACTTGGAAGTGGGTCATTTGGAAGCAACCTATCGGCCACAAGATATCCATTACTTAACATAGGTATTCCCCAATGATATCCAGATCTTCCGAATGAAAGCGACCTACATCCTGTGGCGTTCATCAATCTGTAACCCCATACAAATTATTCAATATCAATAATATAATATAATAACATAACATATAATATAACATAACATCAAGCCTTTTATCCCCGAAGGGGTAGGCAGACACACATAGCAGGTGTACATTATGCCACTGTACGACTTAACACCCACTTTTCACTATTTATATTATGAGTTCCATGTAATAGGGGACCCTATTGTCATATACCGGGCACAATTCCAGATTCCATGATTTTTTAATCCCAGTAATTCTTAACTGGACCCGGTAATCTCACCAGTCGCACTTACGAACACTTGGTCAACGAGGCAGTCAATATAAATAGACAGTCAGTCAAAGACCAAATATTAATAGACACTTAAATCCAACGACGCGGACGACCACAAAATCATCTTAGGAAAGTATCTCTAAACAATATTTCCAGCTATTGATTCAAAGAATCTGATTCAACGAACAGCGAAATTACTTTGACGATTCATTTCTGATCTCATTGGAACATTGGCCTCCTTTTATTAGACCTTGACATACTAACCTAGACATCTTGCTTCCTGCAATTTTTAATTCTTCCCCTGATAAACATTCTTGCGACGTTCATTGACTCATTGTTTCGAAGGCAAGTTAAAATTAAATGGTGTAATTTCGGTGTAATAGCATCGAGTTTTGTTATATTTGTCACGTGGTATAAGTTATGTAATTGATTGAAAGATTACTTTCTATTTCGTATGGTGAAATAACTTAAACAAATCGTTTTTATACAATACTAGCTGAGCCCCTACTTCGTCCGCGTGGAATAGTGATTCACAGCTCCTCCCCCGTAGTTGATAGCATGATAATATGTAGCCTATATATTGACCCGACCTGTTAGTAATATTCATGCAAAATTTGAAATAAATCCATACAACACTTTTTGAGTTCATCGCGGACATACATACAGACAAACAGACAAAAATTCTAAAAACCATATTTTTGGTTTCGGTATCGACTGTAGATCACGCCCAAATCATTCTTTTAAAAAAAATATTCGATGTACAGTTTTCACTTTCCTATACGATTTTATTAGAGGTATAATATATAGATAGTCAAATATAACTAAGATCACATAGACAAATCTGCACGGATTTATGAGACAAAATCGTACCTACGGGTACTATGTGCAAGTAATAGTAAAAAGTTTTATACCTATTTACTTAATTATTTTACCTATTCAAATACAGAAGCCTCCATTTAAAAGTTTAAAGTTATTGTATGGAAAAACACGAGTTCTGTAAAAACAAAGAGTATCTGATAGGCAACTGAAAAGCGTATTATATAGCCGAGGCATTAGTATAATATATATAGTTATATATAGTACCTAACCTAGTATAAAGTTATATGTATAGGCATAATTGCTTAACGGTAGACGTTAAACAACCAAAGAATTGAACTAGGGTAAAAATATCAAAATACTTCAAGTCTTTGTGTATCAATTATAACACAAGTATACAGAACAATTACACATAACATAAGATCACGCCTTTTATCCCCGAAGGGGTAGGCAGAGGTGCACATTATACCACTGTACAATGTAACACCCACTTTTCACTATTTATGTTATGAGTCCCATGTAATAGGGGGTGAGCCTATTGCCATATACCGGGCACAATTCCAGACTCCGTGCTACTACTGAGATTTTTTTTAAAAACCAGTATTACTTTGCCCAACCCGGGAATCGAACCCGAGACCCCTTGCCCGGCAGTCGCACTTGCGACCACTCGGCCAGCGAGGCAGTCAGAACAATGACTTAATAAAAACCCATACATTAAGACATCATAAACCTCCTTCATCCTACGCGGCCTGTAGATCAATTAAATGTTACATCGAATAGATGCTCGTCAAGTTGAAGTGACAAACTCTATGACAAAACAGATCAACAAGTTAAGGTATTACAGACTAACATAATTAACTTCACGGAATTTAAAAGTAAAATACATTGTATTAAAGTTTGTTTTGGTTTGTACGAGAAGTAAGCTGCTATTCATCAAAAATAAGAACAGAATAACATCAGATAACGCTATAGGTCAGTTGAATATTTCAGGTAGTTCTAGAGATCCTATGAAACTGTAACTGAAATTATAATTATAATTGACTGCACAGATTGTTGTTTCGGGTCTGGGTGTCATACGTGTGTGAACTTATGTTTGTAAACGCACCCACGACACAGCAGAAAATCCTAGTGAGGGTCAAAGATTTAAAAAAAAATAAAATCATATTAATAAAGTCGTATGTCCTTCTTAAAACACAGTTCGAAGGAAGCTTAAAACAAATATTATTAAAATCACATCTAACATAATCCCTTAACCTTAAAAAAGTACAAAACAAACCACCTAACGAATAATCCATACTTCCAGAACCCATATAATCACCAACTTAAACTGTCAAACACCAAGCGGTCACCGGTGACCGCGACCTATTGTTCTTTAATTGTGTCTGTAAAACCGGTACTCGACGAGTTAAAGCACATAGTCTACAATAATCGATCTATAAGCGCCTTAACTTTATCAAAGTGTTCGACTAACGGCATTGACCCACATATGCATCGATATTCGGTTACAACACTAGTGCTCAACTCGGTGACGAATACACGATACACCTCTATAATTAATGTGTCATTTTGTTTATTCAAATTTTTCTCTGCAACCTCGACATTATGGGAGCTTGGGACTTCTTGATTAGATTTGAATTATGCTTTTGTTTGGTTAATGAGAAGATAACAAATATTAATGTAAACGCAATAGGCTCAAGAGGATTTGTAAATAAATCGGTGTATGAATATAAAACTTTACTAATATTTTCATTTATTTATTTATTTATTTATACTTTATTGCACTCACAGAAAAAAATTG